TTTTTTTTTAGTTGATACTAAACTTAACATGTATTACTGATATAGATTCCTAATTCAACCTTATAGGATTTCAATAGAAATATAAAATATAGAACAAAGAAAGTAATTATCTCACTCTACTTAGTGCTGATTAGGCCTCCCTTGAAATTTTGTATTTTATTCATTAAGAATGAAGAAATTAGAGAAAACTGGGACAAGAGCTATAATGATAACAGTGATGCTGGAACCAATGGCCTATGAGGCAGGACGGGGCAGCGGAAAGGGCACTGACCAGGGAGGGGGAACCAGGTCACTGGCTGTGAGGTCCTGACCAAGCAAGTAGATCGGGAGCTGAGGACAGGCCTCCCTGGATAGAGACTCGGACGGTGGTAGCTGGCTGGCCTGTTCTCCTCAGGAGGTTTTGGCTCTCTGGTTAGACCACACTGTACTGGGTTCCTTTCTCCCTACCTCACCCATCAAAGTTTAGGGCCTCTTGAGTCGCCAAGCAAAATTTTACACTCCTGAAATCCCATAAACATATTATACCAATTCTTTCCCTTGGGAATTCACAGAGTCATGAGTTAAAACTCAGCCTCTCCTACTAACTTTGTGACCACTTGAACTTTCTGAGACTCACTTTCCTTGTTTGTGAAGTAGGGGTAGCACCACGCTCTGTGTGATGTGGACATTAAGTAAAACAATGTTTGTAGCACAATGTGGGGCACAAGGTAGGTGCCCAATAAATGGTGTAGCTAATATTACTACTACATTTACTACCACCATCCCTCTTCTTTATTTCTCCCCCTCCTCCACTGCTGGCCAGGCACTGTGCTGGGCTCAGGGCGTCCAGTAGAAAGAAAATTCAGGTTCCCTGCCTGCACCGAGCTTACAATCTAACGACCATGTCCCGTTGAACTTTTTGCAATAATTGAAATGTTCCACATGTATATTCTCCAGTATGGTAGCCAGCAGCCACATGTGGCATTTAAGCACTAGAAATGTGACTGGTGTGACTGAGGAACTGAATTTTAAATTTCATTTAATTTTAACGAATTATATGAAAATGGAAATAGTCTCATGTAGAAATAGCACAGCTCTATACACCTTTCAGGTACATTTCTGAGACTGGCCAATAAAGATGCATGAAAAGAGGAATGCACATAAAGCACCAGAATAGTACCTGGAAGATTCTCTTATGCGTTCATTCATCACATTTAATTGTCTACTGTGCATAAGCCCTATCTCAGGTGCTATGGATACAGTGCCAACTGTACCTTCTGGGAGCTCACTGTTGAGTGAGGGATATGCAGATAAATCCTTTTACCATAAGGCAGTAAGTGTATGCACAGGTGCAACAGCGAGAGGTCTGTAACCCAGATGAGCAATCAGAGAATGCTATTGAGAAGGACATTTTAAGACCTGAGCAGTCTTGAATGAGTACATCTCATAGTGGGGGCTCAATTGATATTTATTCCATGTACAACAACAGATTATATTCCAGGGCCACTGCTGGTGGCAGAGGTGGCTATGAGGCAAACCGGGGAGAACTCAGAGCTACGGCCAATTGGTTTTCTTTGAAAATTTCCCCTGCCTTTGGATATTGCCTGATTCAATTTCCCTTCTGTGGCCACATTTTCATCCCCTGAGGACACTTTTTTGATGATGTGTATTACCTTATTTTTTTATTGTTTTATTAGTAGTCACTAACCATGCGTGATTTGGGGAGGGGGAAAGCAGTGAACTCTGTTACACATAAAGTGACATCAACTCCCACTGTGGTCGGGCTGTGGAATTCAGATACTTACTATAAACAAACAGCTCTGAACATGGTCCATCTGTGAGGAAACTGTTACAGATCAGTTGGGCTGGCTGAATATGGCTGTGATAGTGATGCACATTCACAGAAGCAAGGGCTGTTCTAATTGCTTGGGTAGAAAAGGGGGATCTTAGGCCCATTTATCTATTTTACACAATTGTTTAAAGTTAATATGTGACATCTAGCCAGAGAATTCTGCAACTGACATATGTTCACATAAAGATAGGCACAGCTTTATATTGTATGGTTTCAATAATCATATTTGTGCATATGAAGCAGGATTATCTGTGTGATTCCTTCCTCTACGAGACCAGGGAGACACTCATGTAGTCTGGCTCAGTTGTGTGAGGCCCTGGTCTGTGTCAGACCCTAGACGGTACCAGCTTTGACTGTGGCAGAGTTGCCTCTGCTGGATGGAGGTGTAAATTGATGTAGCCTTTCTAAGAAGCAGCTTGTCATATATACCAGGGACCTTAAAACATTCATGCCCTTTGGCTCAGTCATTCTACTCCTGGGAATCTATCCAAAGGAAGTATTTGAAAATGTGTGCAACAAAGACTTTGCCTGGGGATACTGTACAGTTATCTGTAGTTGCTAAAGACAGGAAATAACTTAAATGACTAACAGTGTAATAATATGCTCATAAAGGTGATGATGTTCAATGAAGGACTTTTTCTGAAAGAAGGCAGAGAAACTAGCTACAGAGGCTAAGCAACTGCCCAGGAGTCAGACAGGCTGGATTTGAATCTTGGCTTTGCCACTTACTTCTAGCTGTGTGACTTGGACAAGTCACCTGGACTCTGTGGGGTTAGTAATACATAATGTTTGCCTTAGCAGGACTTCTGAGGATAAATGATGCTGTGAATATAAAAATACTTAATACCTGCAAAGTACATGTTTTAAGTACCCAATAAATGTTGGATGTCTATGGATTGTAAGATTTCATGGCATAAAAATAGATGCAAAGGAAATATGCCATAATATTGAACCATCTGAGTGGTTCAATTGTGGCTGTTTTGTTTGATCCTTTGCACACTTTCAACTTCCCAAATTTCCTGCAGTTCACACAAATTACTTTTATACTAAAAGAGTATATCATAATGATGTAATACAATAAAATATTTAAGAGAAAAAAGTTTGACCACAACAAAACGGTACTTCTCTTTTACTCCTTCCCTTCCAGAGGAAGAGCTGGAAGCAGGCTTCTCCCCCAGAGATCAGCGGGAAAGGGTAGAGCTGCTTTATGGCTTCTTCCCCTGGCAGAGTGACATACGGGCACAGCCCAGACCTTGGCAGTAGAGGGTTAGTGGGGTCCAGGGCTGCTTGTTGAAGGTGTTCTCTGAGTTGAGGTGGGGGACAGGGAACAGATGTCCTTAGCACTTTCTCCTAGCTTTGAAGCCTAGATTCTAAGGCACTCTGACGTTTACTATTTTCTCCCCATGTCTTAGTGGATCTGAACCAAACACTGACATAAAATTGTAAGGTGGGGAAGACTAATATACTTGCTCCCTACCCCAGGACTCCTTTCATAAAAATACCTGTAATAACGCCTACACCTACAGCAAACACTATAGGTAAACCTTAGGCGAGACTGGCCAAGGAAAGACTTAGATGTGGGGGAAGCGACAACCGGGGAGGAGGACAACAGAAAAGTTAGTCTAGCTGCAGCCGCTTTACTCGATGAGTACAATTTGTATTTGGAATATTTGGCAAATACAACCTTTTCTAACACCAAAAACGGTGAGGCTCCTCCCCACCTTAGGACATATCTCTGGAATGAGAGGGTCACAACGCACAAAGAGGAGTGTGTGTGTGTGTGTGTGTGTGTGTGTGTATGTACATAACCAAACAGTAATGACATCTGCACCCTGAGATCTTAAGTCCTTCATTGACAAAGAGAGTGGCCTGTGCTCCAGCAAGTGTCTCTGTCGGCTGTATTTCAGACAGAGAATCCCAGGCACCGAAATAACCAAGTCGTTCCGGGGACTGGAACCGGAGGAGCAGTTCCCGGCCCTGTGTCTTGACCGATGCCCTTCATCAGTGACTCCCCCTGGTCCACACCTCCAGACAAAAGGTGCGTTCCCCTAAGCGCCCCAAATGAAAGAATGACAAACAGCCCTCCCAGGCCTTCTTCCGGACAGCGAGGTCATCGTATGCTAATGAAGTCAGAGGAGACAACCGCGCGGAGCCTGCCCGCGAGCGAGCCCGCGGGTTCGTAGTTCTCCCGCGCACCACTGCGACGCAGCCACAAAACGTCGCGCGCTGCCGCAGACCCTCCTGCCTCCAGGGGTGGGAGTGGGAGGGAGGGGTCTTGCCCGCCACTTTGAGTTTTGCAGCTGGATCGCGCACATCTGGGTGATGCCTCTTGGTTCCAGTCCCCTGCTTTTCACTGCAATGATGGCGGGGATGGGGTGGCGCATCAGAATCACCTGTAGGGCTTTTCGAACTCCTCAGCCCCCTTTCCAAATTCTAGTCCACTCCTCCAGAGGAAGGAACTCTCAGAATACGCAGAGTGAGGTGGAGTGGTGGAGTTTTTAAGCCCACAGGTGATGCTAGATGTGCGCCCCTCAAGACACACACATACACACACGCACACACACGGGCACACATCTTGGGACTCGGAGACTACACAGGTCAGCTTTACATTTTCTCCCTGACCCTTCTCCCCTTCCCTGGCTTATATTTGTCAAGGTATCCGTGTTCTCTTCAGCTTCCATTTAAGCTCCCCTAGCCCAGGAGCTTTGCGGAGTGTCCGAAGTCCTGGAACCCTGCGGGACGGTCAAACGTTAGGAAAAGTGTCCCCCGCTCCTTGCCGTCCCTCGTGCACCCTGGAGGGCGAACTGGATAACCGAGGAGCGAAGGTAAGTGTAGAAGGGTAGAAATCTGTCCAGTTGCTTCTGCAAACTGCCTGGAACCAGGCCGCCTCCCGCCCGCACACCTTTGAGGTTTGGAAGGTTCTCCCAATCCAAGAGGGAGCCTGTGCCCCACCCTGAGCCGCTCCCGGTCCCTTCACCCTTCCAGCGGGAGATCTCCTCCTGCAGGGACTTGGGAGCAGGTGGCACCGTCCTGGTAGGGGCTGTGGCCTCGGCCGCAGCTCCTTCCCCTGGCCACGGGACCGGCCCCTGCTTTGCCCTCCTTTTCCAAGTTGCTGCTGCCCACGTCCCCAAGCCCAAGCTCCCCTCCGCTGCGCCGGCCACTGTCTTACCTCTCACCAGGCAACACTTGGTTGCGCGGTTCCCCGGAGCGCTCCTTCCTCGGAGCTTATTCCCTTACTTGGGAGGAAAGAGGGACCAAGAGACGGAAAGAAGACCGAAGCAGGCGTCTGAGCGTCTTCCCGCCAGCGCAGCCGGGTAGGGGAGGGGATGGCAGCCCGAGTGGGCGCCGCAGGGCTCGGGTGGCCCTGCAGGGGTTAGGCAGCGCCGGGGTCTTCTGCCTGCTCCCTTATCCGCGGCTCCGAAGCAGTCCTTGTCGGCTGCCGGCTACTACGGCACTGCGGCGCCCTGCCCCTAGCGGTTTGGTAAGTCCCGCTGCCACTCTCAGCGCCGAGCCCTGCCCCCGGGCTCAGAGCCCGCCCCCGCCACACACCGGCGAGCGCGCGCGCACACACACACACACACACACACGCACACGCCACACACAAACGCGCGCGCGCGCGCCCACGCACACACTTATGAATGCGGATCTGCTCAGTAGGAACCCGTGCACCTTTGGTGCAACTTGGGTGCAGGGATGGTTTGGGCACTTTCCACTGATAGGGCTTCAGTTTGGGAGGAAGAGTTAGAAGCTTAGGAGTTCCGAGAGGTTGCAGCAGCGGGGCTCCGCAGGGCGCCAGAGGCCTGCTGGCTCTGGGGACGGAGGACAACTGTTGGACAAATAAAATACCCACCGGACATTTCCATATTTTAACCAATTGTAGCCTGCCTTAATATCTCGACCCAATCAGAATATAAAAATAAGAATAAAAATAAAAATTCAACAAGTTCTCCCCGTTTCCCAGGAACTGCATGGCTGTAGCCTCCGAATCACTGCCGCTGCTCAGGGGCACATTTCTGACATCTCTGACCTTGGTGGCAAGCGTCTGATGGCTGTTCGGTCTGAAAAGATTTCCCCCTCCTCAGATGTGGTGGGGAACTTCAGAGGCCCAGCAGAGCTAGGCTCTGCACGCCCTATCACGTCTCAAAGCCTGAGGGCTGCGGCTTTCCTTCTCCTTTGCTTTTAGATGATTGTGAACTGTTTTCCGGCAGAGCAAACAGACCACATCTTATTTTAAAAATGTAGACAAGCCCAGAAAAGGCTCTGGGGTGAGGGGTAAGGGAAGAGACTGCCAAGGCACCAGTAACTTGTTGCTTCTTCTCTTTCCATGACGTGTGTGTCCACATGGAGCATTAGTGGTGATGGCGACACTACCTCAGCCATGTCACACCCGCAGGATGACTTCTGTCCACTGCACACCACATTTAGAGTCATCAGGAATTTGGACTCTCATCTGTAAAATATGTGGAGTTTACCAGTTTCCACAGCTGAGAATTCTTTTCCACCAGCAGGCAGTGAAGGTCCCCGGGTCAGGACTGCAGCCAAGAAAAGCTTTCTGCAGATGCAGAGGCGCCAAGGGGCCCTGGGTGTCTGGGCATTCGGGGGAAGAAGCCTCAAACATGAATGTCAAATGGCCCTGAGGACCCTGATGGTTAGTGTCCATATTGGGTCATCTGCAAGCAGGCTGATGGGACAGACAAGGAACTAAGGCTCAGAGATTTCCCCAAGGTTCCAGGTGGCAATACCAGACCCCTGTGTCCACACTTCATCTTACCATTTGCTATTCACTTATTCTATCACCCTGGGTTGGTTCTCAAAGCTCCCGGTAGCTAGACTGAAATAATCCTGGTGAGTAGACTCTCAGGTTCTCTTATCTTTTCTTGTTTCCCTTTCACTCACTGACTTCTTCACTTCACAGCTATCTACTAAACTCCTACTTTGTCTTCAGATACTTTCCCTGGCTCTAGTCCTGGGCCTTACTTGGGAAGAAAGAGGAACTGAGAGACAGAAAGAGCTTAGAACAGTCTCTGTCCCGGGTAGAGGAGAAGGCTAGTCATAGCCTTAATTGACATATTTTAACTGTGCTAGGTGGGGTGGATACGGAAGACACAATCCTGGATTTCTAAACTTGCATTCTCTGTGGAGGAAAACACTTACGTACATGTCTCAAGAAAAACATTTTTGCTCTGTCTATTCTTGACTCCTTCTAAAGAAGGAGAAAAGGAGAGAGAGCCTATATTTAGCTAAGCATCATGATGGATTTGGAAATGCATGCTTGCAGGTAGGGGCTGGAGCAACACAGAGTTGTTCTGCCTATTAGAACAGGAAAGAAGTTGAATGGGAAGACGTGCAGAGGCAGAGTGAGGAGGCTTGACTTGGTTGGGAGCATATTGAGGGGAAATGAGAGAGAAACTCTGAGAATGGGGCTGCCAAGCAAAGATTTAGAGAATGGGAGTGCTTGCAAAGATTGGTAAATGGTTTTCTGGGGGTGGAGGGGGACCACGAAGCCTCTGTACTCCAAACTTCCTATGAAATAAATCATTTATAAAGACAATATTGTTCCTCTATTTGTTTGTGAGTGGACTCCCTTGGGGAACTCAGGATGGTGCTGACTGAATTTAGCATGTGGGTTGAGGCAGGGTGAGCACAAAGAAGTCTCTATGGACAGATGGCTTAAAGGCAGTGGGCCCTTGAGTGATATGTTAATAACATGGGAAAAGGGTGGTAAGAGAGGTCGAAGCAATGTGGAGGGCAGGGAGAGCTGGGGCTGGGAAGGAGCACCAGGAAAACTAGTTATGTTGATTGAGACATCATGGAAGAGGTACATTTGTGATGGGGTTTGAAAGGGGAGTAGTGTCCTCACACAAATATCAGCAGGGCGAGGGTACCCCAGGCTGAAGGAAAGAAGAGTCTGGAAAGAGGACGACTCATGGTGAGCTCTGGGTCTTAGTAGAAGAAAGGAAGTTTGGGACATTATTATAGAGGGCTCCCAAATGCCCTGCCAGCAGAGTGGACTTCAGGTGCTGAGTTTCAAGGAACTATTGAAGGTGTGCATTTTTGTTGTTTTTGTTTGGTTTTGACAGGGAAGGGGCTGGAAAACAAACTAGGAAGCCTCTGATGCCACCTGAAGGCCTTCCTGTTCAGAATGGGGGTTGGGGGTATTTGAGGGGGAGAGCTTGCTCCTGCCCCCACGAGGAGCCTGCACCCAGGTGGTACAAGTGGCTCGCTGCATGGGGCGCTCACCTGGGCGGCTGAAGCCCAGCCCACACTCCACTAGCCCAGCCTCACAGCTGGGTGTGGCCACAGCCGCCTGGAGGAAGGGGTGCCTTTACTCTAATCTGCCGAGGCTTGATGTGGGCCAACAGAGGCCCTGGCTGCTGAACTCTGTCTTTGAAAAGGCTGCACCTGCAGTGAAACAAGTGAGGATTTATTGAGCATTTATTGAGCAGATGCAAGGTAAAGGGGAGGGGGTCTTGAAGTCAGGAGTAGCTGTGAACCCGAGCACGTCTTTGCCCTTTGGTGACACTCTGCGACGCACTGCAGGGTCCGGAGGAAGCAGCTTACTTTCTCCCCTCAGAGCCTTTGGTATCTGTGTCCGCTGTAAAACAAACACTCAAACCAGTTTAGAAGGAGCAGTAAAAGGCTGTATAAATCAACTGCCAAACTGTATAGAGCAGATTCTCAAGATATGAGAGGAAAGGCCTCCTCTGGGTTTGAACAGTCAAGGAAAGCTTCAGGGAGGAGGAGGTCTGGGCTTCTGAGCGAAGCGCCTGTTGGCTCTGGATTGAAGAGAACTGTAAGCAAAGGGCCAGAGGCAGGGAAGCTGGAGGCTTCTGAACACGGGATTTTAGCCCCGTGGCCACTCTAATGCCATTCCCAGTCATAGCTCAAGCCCTCTGATGAGTCACTCTTGTTTCTGAGAGACAGGGCATGTTTGGATGTTTAACTGGCTCAACCCTTTACGTTCCCTGAGACTTCAAAGTTGGCAGCTCACACTCACCATGTTGCTCCGGGGACACAGCATCCAAGCTGGCCGCAGATCCTGATTGCCATTGCCAAGGCAAAGCCAGGGCTGAGTCAGGTACCTGTGTCTGACGATGTTTATGTCAGACTGTCTCTGACAACCTGGGTGAACAGCATGTGACACTGTGTACAGCTGAGATCACAGAGCTGGGGTCGGTGGAGGGGGAGCAGGAGACCTGGGTTCAAGTCTCTGCTCAGGGGCTCAGTTTGGTTTTCTGGGCCTCACTTTTCTCACCCACGAAACTAAAGGATTACACCGGATTATCTCCAAGCTGCCTTCCACCTCATATGTCATTATTTCACATAGGATTCTCCTGTTTTATCAAACATGTGCAGTATGCGAACTGATACTAGCCAAGTTGCCTCTCTGCTTTGATTGTGAAGTAGGACCTGTGCCTTGTCACAGTTTTGCCCTGATCAGGAGCTGTAAATCCAGCCCTGGGGAGGTGACAGGTCAGCCCCCTCAGGGGGCCTCAGTTTTCTTATTGGTAAATAAGGCAACTGGAAATGGTCTCAACAGCCCTTTCTGGCTCTGATACTCTAAGTACTGTCAGCTGAAAAACTTTTAAGTACTGCTCCATGACTGGCGTGGGGCTCCTCCACAAGGCAAGCTGGGGAAATCCCCGTAATAAAACTGATAAGCCTGGAAAAAAGAGAAGCCCTGAGGTTTAGTCAGCGGGAAGGGGAATTGAGGGGCTGGATGAAATAAGGTGAAGGGATTACGCAGTAAGTGTGTGTGTGTCAAATAGACACAGACAACAGTGTGGTGATAGCCAAAGGGAAAGAGGGAAAAGGAAGTGGAGGGAGGTGGAAGTGGGCAAAGGGCGGATAAATGGGGATGGAAAGAAACTTCACTTTGGGCGATGGGTGCATGCGATGCTGTGTGCAGATGATGGTTTGTTGAGCTGTACACTTGAAACCTGTATGCTTTTGTGAACCAATGTCATCCCAATAAATTCAATAACAAAGACTTAAGTGACAAAAATAGAGTAGCAAACTAACCATTTAGATAAAGTTGGAAGACCCTGGTCTGTGTCTAGAAGCCTTAGTTTCCTGTTCTGCAAAATGGGAATGGTTATACCTGCATCATTAGGTGGGTAATGATTAAATGAAGATGTGTATGTGAAAATGCTTTGTGTATTTAGAAGTGCTATGCAAAAAATTAAAGTTATTAAAGATAGTCTGTTCCCCCAAGTCAGTCTGTTAAAAAACAAACAAACAAACAATGACCAACTATATTACTCACTTGCCTGCTTCCTAGGAAGCAACAAGTCAGGTCAGCAACTGTCTCCACACTCCTAAGGGGAGTAATATTTTAACATGAAAACTTACCACAGGAGCTGGTGGACTTTAGCACTGACTATCAGGCTGCAAATTCACCCCCGCCTGGAATTCTGCAATGGCACTGGCATTG